ACTTCCTCTTCTCTCTGAATAAAACCAGCTTAGCAATACCCTTTCCATCTTAATTATGTAAATTAGATTCTCTCCTGTATATGGGGGAGCTGAGTTGCTAAAGGCAAAACAACATAACTTCACATAAAATGCCCAGAGATTACAGCACTGAAATAATAGGGTATGTTCAGTGGTTTGGATTGAGTCCATAGCTTCGTAGAGGCCAACAGCAAAAGAAATAATGTAAAACTATATAAAAGGCAGTAAACTTTCCCGCATTGTTGTTTGCTTTTGTTTTACAGTCTTCTGTAAGTAGAAGCCCGTAATGTGGAACTGGGTTTAGAGGATAATTTGAATCCAGAGGAAATGGAATTTTAATAGCTTGTTATTTAATTAACTAATAAATAACGCAAAGTGCCTCTAACAGTAAAATATCAATTGCGACAGAGCAAGTCCACATTAATAAATGATAAGACAACCGCGCCATGAGCTCACTTAAAGGCGTTAGCACAAACATTTCCTGGCAGAAATTGGGGAATTACTAGTGATTAGATTGAAATCAGAATCATTGGAATTTGGATTGTGCCGAGCAATTAACTACCAGTGTAAATGTATAACATTGGGCAGTTTATTTTTCTTTAGGCAGGGCATCCAAATATTTCTTTGTTGTCTTCTAAAAAATGGAAAATGCAACTCAGGTTTTTAAAAAAGCAACATACATAGATTTGTGGGGGACAAGAGCAAAACAATTCTCAGGCTTCCAGGGTACAATAATGGTATCTCTAAAAGAATCTCTATTACTCAGTTCTGTTTTCCTGACAAGAAAGAATGTCTGGGTGGAAAGGGTTGGCTTGTCTAGAGTCCCATCTGTGCAGAAGCAAGTACCTCTCGTCCAACTTGTGTAAATGTGAAGTAACTCCTTAGATTAGGGCTACTCAACTTTGGAAGCCTCAGGGCCCACAATGATACTCAGCACATACCAAGAGCTGTAACTTAAGTGTGGTTGCATATACATGCAAATACATATGCAAATATATGCAAATAGCTTATAGCACACAGCACTCCCGGCACCTCCTTCCTGGGGACTAGAAACACTGACACCCAGTACCTGTCTGTTCCAGACTGCCCGTCCGCTTGCATCTTTCAGTGCTCACCCTGCCTGAGAGACGCCTCGCCGTTGTGTTCCCAGTGGAGGCCATGTTCAAAGGATCCCACCTGTGGGCTGCGTGTTGAGCTTTTTGTAAACCCAAACTGCCCCGCGGGCCGCAAACAAACAGGCCGCGTATTGAGTAGCCTTAGATGCTGGTGGAATTACACCAGTGTCAGATTGTTCTGAGAGGAGAATCAGATCTAATGAGACCAGAAGTTTCTCAAAAATGTACACTCACTTAGCATGGAATTCAGTCATGAAGAGGGTCAGCACAAGTCCTGTTCAGTACTTAGATGACCCTTGCCTCTACTTGAGGGCATATGCAGTGTCCAGCTCTTGTCCTGACCCCTGCCATTCACACTGTGTGAAAATAGATCCAGTGATTGAAAGCTAAAGCGAGACAAATTCAGACTGGAAATAAAAGTGCACATTTTTAACAGTGAGGAGCAATTAACCATCTGAACAACTTGCCTAAAAACGTGATGGCTTCTCCATCGCCTCAAGTCTTTGTATTAAGAGTGGATGACTTGCTACAAGAGATGCTTTAGCTTGATGAGAAGTTATGGGCTTGCTGCAGAAATTACTGAGTGGGCTTTCTGCCCTGCATCAAGGTCCTAAAGGTCTCTACTGGAATTATGCACAGTTTTGTGTGTCGTTCCCAAGCCATGGCAGGGGAACACCCTCGCAGGCCTGTTATTTCACATTCATGTGAAGCATTTAGTTCAAGCTAAAGACTTAAAAATTATGAAATCAGAGCCTCTCACCTCTTTGCTAAATGGAGAAAAAAGGCTTCTACTGGTGATTAAACAAATTATTATTAAATATTTGGGGGGGGGGGGG